TCAAGAGATCAGCAAAGAGCTTGGCAGGATGTTCTTCACCATTACAAACAACGGTGCAATCCACTCAGAGTGTGCTGTCTCTGGGAAAAGGCAATTACATAGCTAGGACTTTGGTAGGAAAAAAGAGCATGTTGCTCTACTTGAAAGCATAAATTGAAAGGACCAATATTTGCTATTGGTCTATCCTAACCCTTCATCCAACTTTCTTGGCTTAGAATATTTTTCTTAAAAACTCAAGTTGCTCCCATACTGCCTGATGAGAGACTAAGTGTCCTTTTTGGCCACAAAGAAAAAGTTCAAAAACACAAGCTATAGGGACTGATTTATGAAATACACTACTATGCTATGCAGAAAGCCAAGTAAAATTCCCTGCAGCTGGTTCTGGAATCAAAAATGTTATAAGCACACAAGCATTGCACTAACTCAGTTCTGCCTCTTCAAGGATCAAAGCTGGCCGCCCCAGGGAGTCAGTCTCATCCCCACAGGTATTTTACCTTTCTTGAGTCACTTCAGGTTTCTTTCATACCATGCTGTGCAGCATTGCATTGCACAGATGCACCCTGGTATTTCAAAAGTAAACATAAAGAAAACACTCAAAAAACCCCATCCCCTAATTCCAAGTGGATCTCAGGTTGGTCCTTTTACCTTTGCCACCAACGTTTTCATCTCCAGCAAAGAAAACAAGAGGAAATAAACCCTGGGAGGACTTTCACAAGGCAAACTATTTTCTGCTCAACTAATCCAAAGGTGCACTTAATGAAAGCACTGACTCCTTTGATGTCAGAGTAATTCACTACTGATACAGTGAGAGCCCTTCTCAGCCTATGCAGGCTACTCATTCTGGTCAGACCCTGCTCTGTGCAGACACTGGTGTTACATCAGCACTTGTGGACTTTGTCAGGATTCTACCAGTCATCTAGGGATGCCCCTTCTCCATCCAGTGCAGCTCCCCATTCTCCCCCACCTGCAAAAAGCAGAACTGAGGAAAAGCACACTTTCACTTCCTAGTGATACCTGCAGTAACTCACCCTGTGGCCTAAGGGGTGTGAAGGAATGGCAGAACAGAAGCACAGAGTCCTAATTAAGTAACATGGCTTCCCTTTTGAAATAATTCATTTCTCCATCCCATTTCCACATGCCTCTCCTGAAAACCCTTCACTACAGTTATATTTAGTAAATAGTGTATACTGGATTTGTCATAACAGACTGGGCAAGGTATATTTTGGACACATTTTCACAAGAGCTGAAAGCATTACTGGACCACGACTATAAGTAGGATGCTTTTAAGCAGACTATAGCTCTAAACCAGAGAGCACCAGCCTGTCCTTAAGTCAAGACATCTGCTCATACACATCTCCTGTCACTGCCTAGTCGAGTGAAGATTACAAAGCACATTCTGATTATCTGTTTACTTCCTCTCATTCTTAAGTGGTTGCTTGGGTTTTTCTTCTCACAGAGCATTATGAGCCTTGGATGGCTATGTAAGCACCTCTTAGCACATTGTGCAAGCTAATAGAATACAAATGATTATATAAATAATATAGCTGCTGAAGATTTTCTTGTCACTGCTTTCTCTGCTCCATTGGCTTGACTTAGAGCACACATAAAAATGGCCTCTGCTAAGTGTTTTGTTCATAGCATCCATAAATAAAATTAAGATCCTGATTTAAAGAGACACTAAGAAGCTGTATCTCCTCCTGATTTCAATCAAACTGGGATGCTCAGTGCCTAGGAAAATCAAGCCCAAGGCTTCACAGATGAAACCAGAAGGAATTCTATGGCAGTTTGTATTCAAGCAGGGCAGTTTAATTTCTTATTTAAGATACTCACATGCTCTTTTTCAGCATATGTGCATCTCTTTAACCAATCCAGAGGTCAGGCAGGAGAGCAGCTTCAGACTGACAACCGTTACTCACATCAGAGGACTGGCACATAACAGAGAACCCCTGACACCACAAGTCGAGCATTAGTAGGATGGTAATGTCAAGTCAGTTACAGCCACAGAACATCTACCTCAGAATTGCTGCTTCCATGACTCCTGTATGAAACCTCCACCTTTCCTCTGATATTAAGTGTTCATACAAACATGATATTGCGACAACCTGCTGGGCTGCAAATAAAATTAGATCGACCTTGCCACACCCTGTGAAAAACAGTATTAGTACAGAATCCCAACCTTAAGGAGAAAACTCTTCCGAGAAACTCTTATTCCAGGCTAGCTAGGAAGCCGGCTGACAGAAAACCTACAACTGTTTTTCAGTAAGCTTTCTATAACACATTTTGGAAACATCGATATCTGCATCCCCATTAATCACAGCAATAATCACAAACTATATTAGAAGAGAGAGAAAAGACAAAAGATAATTGCAAGGCAAACACCCAAACAAAACTGTACCAAGTTTGGGATTCGGATTGAGACTTCATTTTTTTTTAACCTTTTTTTTTTTTCCCCCCAAAGAACAATATTCTGATTCCTGCTGCTAGCCAGGCAGTCCAATCTCAATTACCCAAGTGTGAAGTTTCTCAAAGTTGTGGATTAACTATATGACAAGTGCACCCAGCCTGAGGAATACAACATGGGTTTTGGAACCAGCTAGCTCTTCCTGACCAGGGCAGCCACTCAACTGCACAAAATTCCCAACAGTGTAGCAATTATAAGATCACAGTTGCCTGTCCTAGACACTGTTAAGGCCACATAATGACTCTGCCATGAGATAAGGACAGAATGGAGCAACAGGATGGTGCTAACTCCTGGTGGAGGTAAGATCTGGCTAGCCCACCTTACATGTGGCTAGCCCATACAGAGACAAATTCCCACTGTGGCAAACTGAATAAAGAAGCAGCTGCTCGTATGCATATCATCAGTCAAGGATCACCCCAAGTTATGGAACAGATGGCATCTGTGACCACAGAAGCCCTCCACCCCCAAATATGCCTCCATGAATACTTAGAACTTAGACTGTAACTTAAGCCACAAGTGAGGGGAACTTAAGGGTGGTACTATCATCCAGGTGTTTTCTCAGGCCTAGGAGGAGATTAACAAAGCTGGAGGAGAAGAATGTATCACTGATAAAGGACACAAAGAATGCAGAATTTATGGGCCACAAGGAAAGCCAACTCAGTAACTGTGCTGAAATCAGCTCGGACTGCATAAAAGGTAATTCCATCAGGGAGAGATCGCAACCACTGACTCGAAAAACCCACCAACTCAAACAGAAAGACTGAGTTGAACATGGGACTAATTAGCATAAGAAGCTGGAGAATTATTTAACCAGTAGAACAAGAGAACTGTGGAGCCAATTTTGAGGAATTGAATTTTTTCCATTGCTTTAAAACACTGCTACTGTAGTGAGCTGTGCAAGCCTCCTGCCAGGGAACTGAGGATAAAGCTGATGGGAGGAGGCCATAACCCCCAAACTGCTAGGTTTGTGGAGGCCCTAAGGGTGAGTCTCTAGGTGTGTGATGCTTGTCTAAAGAAGGACAGTGGTAGCTCTCAGTGTGTGATACTTATCTCCTATGAGTCAGGCTAGGCCCTCTGTGCACACACCCATCACTAGCCAGAGAAGGCCTCTTAGCAGGGGTGCACCTGAAGCAACCCCCTGCCCCATGCCTAAATGACTCTACAAAAATCATCACCTTCAGCCTCTGAAAAACAGCATGACTGTGCAAAACCAGCACTCCACACACACACAGGGGAAGCACCAGAAGTGTTTCTAAGGGTACATAAACTCACTGGTTATGTTTCATGGGCTTCTTTTCCTCATCAATCCCCGATGGACCAAGACACCAGTGATAACAGTGAGGACGGCAACAACAACAAAGTCTGTCAGAGAACTCCGAGTGGTGACTATGAACTTCTTATTCTTTCTCTCTTTTTCTTTCTCTCATTTCTGTTACACATTTTCCTGGGTGATAGCTTTATGCTTTTATATTGCCATATTATGGTAGACAATACAACCAAAACAGCTACATACCTGTTTTCCTTTGCAACCAAATTGTTCTAAAACAAACCATATCTATCATATCTGTAAATACAGGTAATCTACTGTTGATTTACTTTTATTCACCTCAACGGATTTATTAGCAAAAATCCAAAAGTTACTTCTGCCTTGTGGGGCAGGCTGTAACACCAATGAGCATTAATTCCTTGTTTTTCAAAACGTATAAATGTGAAAGGTTTTGAATGATCTCAGAACCCCCCACCACCAAGAAGTCCAAGACAAAGATGAACAAACGGGATGCCACTGGATCCATTGGAGGTGACTATCTTCTGCTTAATCTCTCTCTCTCTGTTCTCTCCTCTGTTTTCTATTTATTTCTATCTCACATTTTATTGTTAAGTACAATCTGTACTAATGACTTCAGCATATGGTCTTGTTTTCACCTTAATTCCGGCAGAGGTATCTCTCAGTAATTGGATCACAACACATGGACTTCAAGTCCACATGCCTCGTTATTGCCACACGTTCATTAAACCCTCATGCTGCACTCTCCTCACAGAATTTACACTTTTTATGCTAATTTCAAATTTTATCTTTCCATTTTATTCTAATTCTGTATCCTCCTGGAAAATTTAGAACTAACTATATTCCCAGGTGAAATAGAGGATCATAAAAAAAATTCTAAATAAGCTTCTGAATATGATTTTTTCAGCTAAAAATGTTACTTGGTAAACAAAGGCCATTTATCTTTTTATAATGGCTATTGCCTCAGTGCCTAGAAGATAGCCATTTAGAAGAAAACATTACTAACAGCTTACAGAAGACACCTCTCCTGCTACCAGGGTTATTTTTTCTGTAATCCAAACACTAGAAGTCTGATTCTGCCCTTAAGATCATGAGTCTTCCAGCCTTCTGTCCAGCCAAATGACAAGTTTATCCTGTTGCAGTATCAGTATAAAATTCAACGTAAGGGAAAGACATTGAGTGTGTAAGGCAGGAAAGAGTGATGACTTTAAGAAACCCAAAGCACAGAAACAAGAATTAATTTGAAACAGTTACCTCTTTGAGGCAGCCCATGAAGTTGTTGCTTACTGGAGAGCCAGGTAAATCAGCAGTACTGGGGCTCCCTCCCACATAAAAGAAGTCATCTGAGCCCAGCATGGTGTAGTCCTCCTGTGTGTAGCCCGTGGTGGTAAGGATGCCATCCACAGAGATTGTCACCTGTTTGAGGGACACAATGGACAAAGAAAATCCCAGCAATGACCTTACAATCCTGAACAGAACAACTTACCTCCCCTATAATTTTATGTTGGTTTTATTAAGGATTTTGTTGATATTTGGTATGTATTTTTTTTAGTTCAGTGAAGCTCTATTTTCTGGTCTGATTTTCTCACAACAGAAATGTTTCAGCATCTGCTTCTCCCTTTTCTGGTTCATCAGCACTCTCAGGCTTACCCACCAGCCTGCCCATCCAGATGCTTTCCATCTATTCAGGCCAGAAAATGGAACTGTCCTTGAAAGAGATTTCTCATATTAGCTGATTTTATGATTGATTAGAATTTATTTTAATGATTACAGTTAGTTATGGTTGTTAGTAAAAAACAAAACAAAACAAAACAAACCACTAATGAAGACAAGGTTGGTATTTTTTATTTTTTATGCTTCTTTTGCTCATGGCACACTGACGATCATGCATTCAGGGATGGGGGGAAAGGGATCTCACTTTCAATACATTATGGATGTGCATGCCATGTACCTAGAGAGACACACACCCACCACAAAAAAAATAAAATAAAGTAAAATAAATTAAAAACTAACTCATAACCAAAATATAAGCAGAAAATAAAATGAAATAAATCAAAATAAATCAACCACACACCAAGTGTGATAGAAGCAGAGATGAGAAAGAAAAAGAAAGAAGAAAAAGCGTGCACACACTGCACTTTGACATATCATGCCAATATATCTGAGGCCCAGAAAGATGATGGGAAAAAAGTGAAAAGAGAGGGAGGCAGAAGGAGAGGGAGAGAAAACCATTTCACACTTGCATGCAGTAAAAAATAAAAATACCAAACAAACTCCATAATAATCAAAAAAACTCAAAACCAAACAGAAATATCCCGAAAATCTCTAACCACAAACACATGGAGGGTGAAGGGTGACATAAGGAGGGGAGGGAAAGTAGTAAGTGAATTTGATGTATTTTGCTTAGATGTTGTTAGTGGTTTCAAGGGAAGATGGAGGAAAATAGATCGAGGCCAGGAGGTGAGTCACCAGACGTGGACATGCCATGCAGAGTGTGTACTGAAACAAACAATCGGCTGAGCTCCTGTTGGCCACGCAGGTAGAGGTCAGAAAGAGAGAGAGAAAGTGAGAGAGAGAGAGAGCAAGAGGGAAGAGGAGGAGAGAAAGCAGGAGGGAAGTGGGGGAAAATCAGGAGAAAGAGGACAACTCTGGCCAGTTTGCCTGTAATAGCCATTGCCACAACAAAAGAGGGAGAGAAAAAGAGAGCCTTCACCACCATGGACTAGAGGCCCTGCAATGGTTCTGATCTAGAAACCTTTAGAGTTAAAAAAACCACATAAACCAAAAGCAGAGAAAAAAAAGCAAAATTAAAACAAAAGCAAAAGAGAGAAAGCTAAACTCAAAACCAAGGGACAAAAATCCCAACAATTTATCACTGGAAAGGAAAAGAAGAACTAAAGACATAGGTGAAGAAAACAATGAAAGAAATGTCCAAACCCCATTTCCAGAAGAGTTGCTTTTGATGCTCATTTTTCTATTCAAAAAGAAGAAAGAAGAAAAAAAAAAAGGAGGGGGGGAAGTGTTTTAAATGAAATTAAAATAAAATTAAAAGAAGCAGTAAGTATAAAGGAGGGGGGAGAAAAAGAGGGGGTAGGGGGAGGAAAAGGCAGGTAACACACGGCAAACCCAAAAAAAGAGACAATAAGAATGATATCTACCAGACAATGTAGTTTGTTTACCATAGCGTGTCCAATGCCTGAGTGCTTTGCGGAAAAGGGGGAAGAAAGGAAATTAAAAAATCGTGAACAGAACGATTGTTAATTAAAATAACTAAAAGCAAAGATGAGTCGTTAGGGTGTTAGTACATTAGTTGGTTAGTAAAAATGACACATTGCATGAATGGTCTAGTGTTAGTTTTTCAAAAAAAGGTGTGGGGCACCTGAGACACACAAAGTGAGAAAGAGGACAATATGACCAGGACTCTATGGGGATCCATGCCATTTAGACTGTAAAGAAAGAGGGAGCTGCCTTCTCTTCCCACCCTGCTATTAATTATTAACTTCAACCCTCATACACATTTTCCAGATCTGAACCAAAGTTAAAACAGTGCAATACTTACTCTTCAAATGCCCATCAAGGTGCTTCCCTCAAACAAGAACCTTACTCTCAGAGATGTACACACACAGTACACAATTTGTCCCTTCAGCACAGTCCCAACCATGACTCCATTCTTTCGCCCACAACCACCCACCTACATTCCTGCTCCTCTTCCAAGCTTCACTACCCTCAAGTGTTGCAGAGTATCACAAGCAGACCAATATTTCCTTTGGCTGGAGTATATAGACGAAGAGTCCAAGACTCTGAGTCTTCCTTCCAAGTTTCCCAATCTGCAGCTTTCTTTACAGCAGGAGAGTTTGTAACTTTCAGGAGAAGCACACAACAAAGCCTGCGTTTGACTGTGTGCCTTGCCTGTAGTTCACTTCTGTCATCCAAGAGTATAGGAATCGAACCTCTCCTACTGTAGGAAGAAATGTGTCGAGGAATTGTGTAGAAAGAATTGTGTCACTTGTGTCAAGATAGAAGACTGACAAGATTTAGCATCTCTCCTATTATACTGCATCTGTATTATGGAGGAGCTAGGAGAATTTACCAGTCAGTTGGTTTTAACAGAATTTTGCAGATGCTTTGTTAACCCCTCCCAAGGCATGCAGATGTCAATTGTTTGAACCTACGTGTTTCTTGTTTGCTTTTTAGCAGCTGAGGAGCTCAAGATCTTTATAACTGATTTTGCATTGAAACTAGTTTCAATGTCAATAGGAAAGGGAAGTCTCTGCAGGGTCCAAGTCCTTGTTCTATAGTGGCTTAAGTTGGCATGAACTATCCTAAATTACACAAGCAGGTTTTATGCTGCCTCATGTACAAGCTATCTGCCCACAAACCTCAGAGTTGTCCATTGACTAAGGAAGTGAGTTTGTGAAGACTTTGGGGCATTGAGCATAAAGTCCCAAGGTTATTTGCCTTTGGAAATGAAATAATAATAATACTCTGTACTTGGGTACAATGAGCACAAAATCCTCAATTCTTAATCAAGGAAGTCTCACTTGCAGCAAAATATTGTGTTAATAAATCCATTTTATAAACAAGGGAGTCGGAGTATGGGATGGGGGGAAGAGCATGCTAAAAATGAGATGGAGTGTCAGCAGCAGACCTGAATATAGACATGGGAAGTCTGACCTTCAGTCTCCTCTGCTTCTCCTCCTCCTCCCACCAGACCACACTGACCCAAACATGCTCTGAAAGCCCTGGTAAAATATAGCCATGATCCCATTTCTAAGTAAAGGTTTCTCACAAGGCAGAAAGAGGGCTTAGTTTTAACTGAAATAATAAGATAAATAAACAAGGAGATTTGCTTTGACATTAACAATCACTACTCAAGGGAATCTGTGGATTCACTTCGTTTGTCTCTAAGGAGATTAACCGCTGCGATAGTCATTTGATCTAAAAAAAAGTAGCACTTAGTACTCTCCTAGCTTAGCTACAAAACATTTAACAATTCCAAAAAATACCGGGCAGAAGTCCAACTATTTAAAGTTCTACTCTAATTCTAGAAACAGCCAAAAAATTATGCAAATCCTCCTCCCCCTTCTCTCAGCCCCAAAAAAGCAGAGGAAAAGACGAGATGGCTTCCTGAAGCTGCTGGTAGACCATTTAGCTGGAATTGCTTTAGCTTTAGATCATATTCTTGGAATTTCTTTCTTTTTTTTTAATTTCATTATAAAGAGAAATATATTTATCTTCAGTGCAATATTTCCAATCAATTACAAGGAGGCTACTGATTTTCTTATAAAGCCTTAGCATTCAGAGGCAATGTATTTTGTTGGGTTTTTTAGTTTGAAGTGGGTGCTTTTGAGGAAACATGAGCACAGCTGGAAACAAGACTTTCAGGTGAACTCTATTGTGCTGCAACATTACAGGTGAATTTATGTCAGGAAAGACACAGGGTAGTTAATCTTTTACATACAAAATTATTTAGGTTATACAAAATTATATTCAATGACAACATTCAGGACTATCAGGATTGCACTGCCTCAAGGCCTCATGAATTCCAGTTTCTGAGTAGTTTTAGGTTCTTAGTCAATGTCTTAATCTTGAGACCAATCAGGAGCTGAAATGGAAGTATCCAGTGAAAAGATGACTGAAAAAACAAAAGTCCAGTCTTACTGATATTTTTTTTGTTGAACTGTATTTTGTCATGCTTATCTATATAATTGGAACCCAAATCACCTCTGCTAATTATTTTTAATTTGACTTTAAGACTGCCTTTTCTTTGGAAAGAGCACAGCCATCTCATTAAAACATCTCACTCTTGTCCACTCAAGTTGGACGCTTTAAGAATTCAGTATCACTTAAAAACATCCATAGTAAACAGATCCAAAGGATTAAAAGTTTGAGATGCTGCTGAATTGGCAAGGGACTCACCTGCTTTCTAGTAATTGCCAAAGTATTGCCCTGGTCTAATCAAAGATGAAAAGGCATAGACATAGCTCCATTGTCTTGGTCCATTTCCATGGACTAATTAAAAAATCACTAACTAAAAGATTAAGACAAGAATGTTACAACTTTCCATCCAGAGTTTTGTCTGTGGCCCTTCACTTTTTGTTTCTTCAAGATCCAAACCAATGCTGGCATGAAGCAAGGATTCATCTTGCTTCCAGCACATTTTCCCATTGAAATTGATTTCCAACAAAAAATAAAAAGTAAAAAGTATGATTAACTAAAATTGGCCAGTAAGCTCTGCTGGGATATTCAGAGATCAGCTGTTCTGAAACTAGCTAAAAATAAAAATAAAACCCCCAAATCAAATAAGGCTATACATTCTGACCCTTCCAGACTGACAAACCTAGACCAGTTGGTACATCTCCCTCTACTGTACTGATCAGAAGGTTTTAACAAAATAGGATCATTGAGACCCACCCACTGCATAAGAAATTAAATTTGCATCTGCATATAAAGTATTGAAAACAGATTCATTTTTTCCATAGGAAAGAATCCTGGAGTCTCATGATAGTTTGATGATAGATTTTTTGTCAAAGACCCAGACACCCTAAGCATGTAGAAACACAGGGATTTACATGGGAAAGACAAATAAAAATCTTCAGCCCCAAACCCAAATATTGAAAAGAAAGATATGAAATCCCCATAACAAATAAATTATCCACTGACATCTGCAAGTAGAGACTGTTTCTGATCCCTGGTGATGATTATCCTATATTCAAAGACACATTTATTTAGCTACTGTAAAATGTTACCACAAAAGCTGTTTTCACAGCAAATTACATTATATAAACTTATATAAAGCCATTAAGGGTTGTGCTAATATTCACATTAATGAGAAAATAAATAGGTCATATTTTATTCACAAATCGATTTTAAAATCTTAGTTTACAAGCTATTTTTGCTGCCTCTACCAATGATCAAGACAGAAATAGCTCCTATTCAGAGTGTAAACCTCATTTATCATGCAGGGGATGGGCCTTAGTGACTTGATATATTTACCAGCTTTCAGAGCAAGGTTATTTAATTTTATCTTATCTATTTATGTATGAACTTATATTTCATGAGAAAGGCTTTGGGATCTTAAGACTAGCCTACTACCAAATACATCACCTGATACAGTTGTCTGCTTGGAAAAGCAGCATGTAGATGTGCAAAATTACAGTGGTAAAATCAGTAAAACTTTTCCAAAGTGGAATTGTAGGATGCTGGATTGATCTGGGTTTGCTTGGGATTTTTTGATGCTTCCACTTTTCCAGTCCTCACAGCCAACAGAAGAGTCTCATAGGCAGAGACACAAGAAATAAAGTAAAATCTCATTATAGAAAGAAGAGGAAAAAAATCAGAAGAAGAGAAGAACAGAGAATCAAGAAGACTCAGAGAGACTCCAGCCAATTAATTCCAAAGCTATAAAGTTAAATTAATTACACACACACCCACCAGCCTGCACACCTGCACACTCACAGGCATACACAAAAGAAAAAGGAAAACAAAAGACTTCCAGAATTAGAATTGTGACATCATGGCAATGGTTAAACCAATTAACAAAACTGAAAGAAAAAGGAGAGAGGTATAGAGCATTGGCTGTTGGAAAAAGGCTCTCTTCCCACAGTAATTAAATACAACAAGAATATTACTGATAAGATTGAATCATAATTAAGGAAATAATAAAATAAAAAAGGGAGAACAGAAAAAGAAAAAAAGGAAAAGAGAGATGAAAGTAAAGTTATGTTACAAGTTTTTATTATTAAATCAAACTGAAAAAACACAGAAAATTAAAAGTGGAAATGAAGATATTGCGGCAGGGATAAATTCCCATCAAATAATGTTTTTTCACTGTCTTCTAGGTACCAAGATCTAGCATAGGTGGAGACACTAGCAATTCCACTGAGCTTCCCCATTTTTCCAGCACTCTCTCCCATCTGCCTGTCCCAATAAAACAACACAAAATTCTCCCCAGCATTTTCTCCCGTTCACCATTACCTGCCGCAGGTTGCGTGTCACTTTAACGTCGTGCCACGCGTTGTCATTGAACTTGCCATTGACCGGCTCCACAATGGCCTCAAAGGCCCCAGACCCCAGGTTAATGACCAAGGACACCGCACCGTCTTTCAGGGCCAGGTTGACATAATCCGCCGACTTGCCGGTGTGCAGAATGAGCCCGTTGCGTTGCCACGTCTTGAAGGAGAGAGTGATCTCATCGCTGCTGCTCTGGATGGGGTTCTGCGACAGGTCATAGCACAGGTATTCGGAACCACGGAAAGTGGCCATATTCTCATCTCGCGCTGGAAAGGAAGGGGGAAAAAAAACCTATTCAGCAGTCAGCAAAGAAAAGATTCAAGGTTGTCATGAAATCTCTAAGCAATCCCACAGCACTGTTTACTGTACAGCTGTATATCATGGCACGCTAATGACTGTACAGATCCTTTTCTAATACGACTATCAAGAGAATTAACTTCAGGGTCCTCAGTACTGACAAATTTCAGTGCTGTGTTTTCAGTTTCACTGCAGCATTGTCATCATAGGGACCATTCAACAGTATGCAGTGAAATCTAGGAAAAACATTTAAGGACTGCTATAAGGCCCTTCACATCCTTTTTGGGAAAATGATGGAAATCTCTTCTATTCTCAGCACGACCACCACGTATGTGTCATTTTAAAAACCCTCACCATTTCCCAAAAATCAGCATTTAGATTCAGCATTAATGCCAACTGAATTTATATTAACCCATCCGACAGGCAATTTAAGAGAGACATCAGAATATAATCCTGATGGAGCTGCCCCTTTCTTTCAACTGAATGAGAGACCAAGCAGGCAAGAGAGCCACATGAAGTGTCCTATAGATTCCTTCTCCAACAGTAGGAGGGAAGTCCACATAAAACATTTTGTCCATAGATGTGAGTAATGTTGCTGGTAAACATATCTAAGAACTTTGCCTGTCTGATCACCTTGTCGAGGAAATCTGTACTAGACAAGCACATCTTCTTTATATGGCAAAAATAAACATGGGAGGATTATTCACGGCACATGACATAAAATATTTCCTCATTAGGAAAAAAAATCTCCTATGTACATTAAGGAAAGCCAGTGCACTAATTTCTTAGCAACTGGAGGCAGCATTTGAATATCATGAAAATCCTCTGTGTGAGCTAGAAGTCTGCTTCCCAGTACCTCCTGTTCCAGTCCTTCAAAGCCAGTTCTGTTGCCCTATTGCACTTATGTGACTTGAGCCAGCTGCATACCCTGGTTTTGTCCAGTGAAAGAAATGTAGGACAGTGATAGGAAAGCTTGCAGGAGGGCTCTCTGTAGCCCATTCCTACCAGTGCCATCTGGGGGAAAAGGGTCCCCCCACTCAGTAACGCAGCACCTTTCTGACTTACAGTTGTGAAAGCAAGTCTGAGCAGTAGATAGTGGATGCAGTCAAGCTATCATTGCTTAGAAGTTACTGCATAAGGTGGGTGTTGGTCCTATTTCCATTGATATTAATAGTATTTTTTTGCTTCATCTTGTCTCATTTAGTAATCCTAATACAGATCAGACAGAATTTATTAGTACAAGACTGAAGGGAAAATACTTGCTGTCACAGCCATTCTTGGAAAATAAGTACATAGTAAAATCTATGCCCTCATAGCATAAAACAATGGTGACAAAACACTAGAGTGTTGCACCTTGTACATACATCATTGTCAAGTGATAGATCTGCTTTAAGCAGGACTTTTAGGGCAGTATGTGAGTTTGTACTTAAGTAAGCAAACCATGTGTCTACAAACTTCTGCAAGCAAACAGGAGCCAAATTACTCCATGCAGCAGTACATGCTGGGAGCCAAGTGGCTCAAAAGCAGCTTTTCAGAAGACCTGAGGTTCTCAGCACACGTCAGCAGCATTTGCCCTTTCAGCAGAGGCCAGCTGCATCCTTGACTGTATTAACAAGAATCAGCCAGCAGGTGGAGGGAAATGATTCTTCCCCCAATGGACACTTGTGAGAACACATTAGGACTGCTCTGTCCAGTATTGAGCTCCCTCATATAAAAATGGCTTCAGCGTACTGGAGTGAGTCCAGCAAAGAGCTACCAACACACTCAAGGTGCTGAGGTAGGTGAGGTGTATGGAGAACCTGAGAGAACCAGGTTTGTTCTGCTTCAAGGACAGACAACTCATGGGAAATCTTACTGTTCTCTGCAATTACTTAATGGGAGATCATAGAGAAGACAGGGCCAAATTCTTCTCAGAGGTCTGTGGAAGAAGGATGAGAAGCAAGAGATACAGAAGAATGTTTTATCCTGAGGATTGTTGAACACTAGGTAGGGCCCAGAGAGACTGTGAAATCTCCATCTTCAGAAATATTAAAAACTTGATTAGGCACAGTCCTGAGCTGCCTGCTCTAACTGGACCTTCCCTGAGCTAGTGGTTGGACTACAGTCTCTGGAGGTCCCTCCCAAATTATTTGGTTCTGTGATTCTATTCCGAATACGTTTAACTACGAGCAAGAAGTGTTGAATGTTTGTGTCAGTGTTAAACCAGCCTAAGCACAGAGGGCTGCTATTGATTGCAGTTCTGGAAGTCAGAGGCAAGCACTTAACAACCCTTTCCCACTTTGATAATTCCCCTGCCTAGTCACTCCTGATCCATCAGAACAGAATGTGTTACAATCCAGTTAGACACACGCTCCATGTACCCGTGGGAAATTCCCATCAAATAGGCAGTGTTTGAAGGCAGGAGTCAAACACAATCATTATGGCTGAGCCTCTTCCCCACAACCACAGATTTACAAAGTACTGAATACATATTTGTCGTCTTTGGGAAGGGGGGCATGATGGGTTGATTGTTCACTCAGTACTAGAAATATTACTAGGGCTCATTTACACTTTCTCAGTCACTTAGATGAAATCTTACTGATGTACTCAGTACAAGGGAGGAGGCCAAGAGTATATGAGAAATCTAAACAGTAATTTAGAGCAACTACTGCAGACTCATCAAAATAGAGCAGAGCAAATTCAAAGAGATATTACTCTGACTTGTACCATTGGTTTTAATACAAGGTGCCATCAACCCACCTCTGCATGCAACTACGTCATCTGCCTGTTCCCTCCAGTTATCTGCTGCTGACCCTTATCACAGATGGGATTCTGGAACTTATCCATCTTTGCATCCTTTCTGTTCATGGGACAATGTCATTTATTTTTGTTTCATATGTTGCTATGGGGATTTTTTCTTCCTTCTGTCACTGCTTTGGATAGGCGTGCAAATTTGCAGATCACCACACACCAAAATCTCTCTGGGGTTCACTGGGCAATCCAAATTCATGCCTGTCCCCCACATGTCTCATAAGCATAACTCCCAAGGTCAACACACTCTCTCTAAAACTGTGTTCCCCAAATCACTCATTCCTCAACAGTTTACCAGTGGCCATATGGATGGCTGGTTTACCAGTCTCATGAAAGTCTTCAGCGATCAGAGCTAAGCTGTGCCCTGAAGAGCTTCACAGCATATTTCTCCATGCTACTACACATCAGCCTGTGTCAGGCCACATGAAAGGCTTTTTACCAAGCATGTCTTCTCCATACTGCACAAACTGTTAGGATGCTCTGACAGACATGACAGCTATGACCAAAAAGCAAAGGAATTACCAGATGTCATGGAGGGGGAGAAGGGATATAGGTTCTCTCCACAGTGAATGAAGAGATAAAAACTCTGAGTAGGCTGCAGGTCTCACAGCATTTCTGTACGCTTTCAGGCACAGTCTGGTGATGCCTGGAAGACCAGAGAGCAGTGAAACACTGTTTATTTGTTAGCTCATGGCCCTTTTGCTGTACATTTTTGAAGGTTCCACAAATTGCACTGTGATATTTAGGGCTGTGATATTCCTTAGGGCTGTGATATTCCTTAAACATTGGTAGTGTACCAAAGAGCTTCTGCACAGCAACACAGATAACCCAGAAAAGCTAAACTCAAGGCCCAACTCAAAGTCAACAGGAATCCTTGGTTTATGTTACATGAAGCAATAGATCAAACCTTGATTTTCCTGTGATGTGAAACCCTGTATATTGTAGGTAGTGTTTACTGGAATTGATGATCTAGTTGTTCAAGCGTGACAATGTAACTGCATAAAATAACATTTACTTAAAATAGAATTTAGGATATGTTTGAAAACTATTGATTTATACATTATTTGCAAGATTTCATTTTCAACTCAGTTAATACTAAACAGATTTGCAAAAATCAGAATTGGAAAGCAGGTTAACACATGTAAACAATCCAATCTTCCATTTCACTTGTAAATATTAATCTAAACCCATTATTTGCTTCCTAACTCTTTCATATAACTAAATTCTCTGCAGTAGGTGGGATTTTCAAAGATCCAAGACCTGTAAAAAATTCCACATTCAGACTTAAACCCTTGACATATTCAAGACTCATAGAAATCACCAGAATAGAAGCAAAACCCAGAATCTTCAGACTTACACAGACCTTTTCCTTGAAAGAATGGAGATACCCATCACTTGACGTGGTAAAATGTTACCCTTTTCTGACCAACTGGTAGCAGACACACCTAGCATATTAAGCAGTTACCATCACCACCCCAATGCAAAGCCACTTTTGCAAGTCTCAAACCTATACCTGTTCAAATCCCCCAGACAATCATCAGTACCTATTGCAGGTTGATAGCAAGAACAGAAACAAAAGCACAGGAAATAAGTACCTAAGCCAAGTTCCTGGCTCTTCTCATCCCTGTTGAAACCTCAGAGCTTGCTGAGTCTCAGGTTCTCAGGAGAGGTAAAAACTGGGGATCTTTCCATGTACTGTACAGCAATACTGCTTGATCAGGAAAGCCAGATGGTAATTTTAGCTTCAGTTTTTATGTGCAATGCTGTTGCTATGTGTTCCTGTCAGAGCTCTTTCTACAAAGGAGGACTCAAATATTCAGAATTCACAGCATCACCAGGAGGTAGAAAACCTTGACAGTTTGATTTATATCTGAGGAAACCAACGCACCAACATTTTAATGGATTTATTCATGGCCACTGAGAAAAATCAATAGCAGACAAAGCATTTGAGTTCAGGAGCTCCTATCTCCCCATCCTGGGCTCATTCCAGAGGTTCTCATCCATTTGTGGAGGGAAACTAACCTCCTATTTTCTCCAGTCCTGCCAGGAAGTCACCCTAGCTAAGATGTGGAGCAAAGTAGCCTTCAAAGTTTTGGATGATACCTGAAAATAAATACTTCATGACTGTGAAGTTGAAAACCAGCAAACTCTAGAAGCACTTATTCTGCTAAGGGGCATG